ACTGTTTATTTTCATTCAGTGCCTGCCTGCAGCATGTGTCACCACCAGGAACATTCCACGAAGTCCCAAACCATCAGCACAAGGACACCAAATATAGCCTGGGACACAGCATCTGGAACTATCCTGCCATAGTTACTCCAGCTTCATCCAAGAGGGTCAGCAACTTAGGATCCATGTCTGGAGATAATGGAATACCACAGTAATTATTCAGTAGCCAACCAAATAACTTATGTTAGCTACCAGACCTCCCTTTTGCAGAGCTGCCCTCACACACATGCCAGGAGGTGGTGCTGTCCCTCAGGTGCTCTGAAGACACCGGTTGCTCTTTCTTTGTAGCATGTTTATGCAGATAAAAAGACTTCACTAGATCAGGGGGACTTTATGGAAGTGCACAAGCCCACGTGTGCGTGCACATGACAACAGCTGAAGACTCAAATTTCATGCAAAGTAACTAGTAAATGCACATTCAATGCTTTTAAAAATTCCGAGTTTTATCAGTTCCTAATGATCCCAATCTGAATGCACTTGTTCTGAAAGGCACAGAAGCTCTTTAGTGCCTTGCATGAATTCAAACCATTGGCTGTAACTCACAGAGAATAAACCTGTTGTATCACCCATCTGTAACAGCCATCTGGGACAGATGTTTTAAATGGAAACTGCCACAAGATTTAGGGTTCGCAATCATCTGATCATACATCTTGATAATTTACCCCCTGAATGACCCAGTAAGAAATTATGGATCCCACCTGACAGAAGGAAGCAATACAGACACTTTACATTGGCTTCCTTCCCTGATACATGAATGATACTGAAAGAGGATCAGTGCTATGGCTGTACCATCCTATCCCATCCTACCCAATCCCTGCTGCTTGGAGAGCTAAAGCTCACCTGAATTTTTTATGGGCACGGAACTGACGATTCATTACGTATGCAAAGTCAGCAGACCACTTATTTGCTCCTATTTACTTGCTACCAAGGACCTTTGTTTCTTAAGCCAAATAAATAATTCTTAAAACATGTTAACAATCAACAAGCATAAATATTTTCCATATATTTCTGAAACAAAATTATTAGCTATTCACATCCAAGTTCTGTCAGTTCCACTGCATGTCCATCTGGCAGACAGTTGCATTATTTATTTGCTGTCACACTCAGTAAATTGATTTACTGGCATTTAAAGGTATCATCTTTACTCATTACAATTTCAATGATCACTTCAGCACTGCCAGCATTGTGCCAATGACCCGAGTTTCAACATTTAATCTCTACTTAGATTGAATTCCACATACAAAACAGTATATGAAGAGACAGAAGACACTGAAGGACTAGGCTGTTCTCAAAGTTCATTGATCTCTATATGGTAACAATTTGATGAGAAAGTTAATTTAGGGACTCAAATGCAACATACATTTTTCAAGGTCAAGGTAAACTTCAGAACTGGTGACATTGCAATGAAGAATTAAGATAAACAGGCTTGATAGACGAGAATGAGACTATATTGGGCTCACAAAAATTAAAAGCTACCCACGTGGTCACACATCACAAGCATTGTCCTTACAGCCACAGGAGGAATGAGACCATATCCTCAGAGACAGTCCTTACTGCCCAGCAAAGTTTGAGGCAGATGCTGCTTACCCTCACCCACATCCTCTTCATGCTGTCCCAAGTATGCTTCCAAATTATTTTAGCTGCAGTGCCAGAGACCAGAACTCCATTTATGTCCCGAGATATTTCAGGCTGGCAAATACCAGCAGCCCCCCAGCTGTACCCCAGTTTATTAGGGGTAAAAAAACTGATCAGCTTGGAAAATGCTTCAAAACACAAGACCTTTAAGATGCTCTGGACTATTTTCTAAGACACTCTAAGTGAGAAGTGCAAGAGATTTTAAAGAAAATACACAATGACCACCCAAGCTCCCTGTACGTGCCCCCAATTTGCTCGCTCTAACACAGCCTGGCGAGCAAACAGCTCCACAACCATCACCACTGACTGAGGGGCTTCTGCTGAGAAGGTGATCACCAGCTTGCAGCAAGGCTCTGCAAGCCAGGGGGGCTCAAAAACAAATGACAGCATCTCAGGAAGGAAAGGACATACGTGCAGAGGTCAAGAGCTAACATGAGCACGCACATCGTACTTCAACTGGAAACTGAACTCCAGCTGAAATAACACCACCTCCCCCTACACTGACACCCCTGGGCAGCACAGGAACTAAACACAGCACTGACCTGCAACTCCCAGCCACACACACACACATATATATATAACCACAGCCAAGCCAAACCACAGAAAAAGTTGGAATTTTGATCATGCCCCACTGGAGAAAAACATAATTAAAACCATTAGGTTTGGAAAACTTCCAGCTCCATGAATCTGACAAAGACATTTATGATGATAGAAGAATAATAATGTCCAGTAAAATCCCTGTACGTAAAAGCACTAAAAGAGTTTTATAGTCAGAAATCCAAGGGAAGAACATTTTATACAAATTAATGTGCAACTTCGATAGAAAAGGAGCAGTGTGACTCTTCCATTTCATAAACTGAAGCTTAACTTCACAGCTCTCTATATCCTATGACACCTTTCCTGTCAGACTAAACATCTCTTGTTTTGCTGCGAGAGCAACATATCCCACAGGATATTTTTGACGAAAATTAACTCGAGGCTTCGATAAAAAGAGCACAAAGTCCTTTCTGTGATAACTAATTCCTGACGCTTCGATCCACTTTGCATTGCTATGCTTTAGAGGATGCCTGAGATGAGAAGGAATTCATAACACCATCCACCAAGAGAGGTGCATTACAGTAAGGCATATTGACATGCTTGCTCTTTTTATTGATCCATGCAGCAGGTTCTTACTTGAAGTAACATTAAGAGAAATACCACATTACTTGAAAAGAAAAAAAACCTATTTCACAGTTTTTAGAAAAAAAACATTTGGCAGAGTGCTGCCATCTGCACCAATATTTGAAAACCAAGCTATTCAAATATGCATAATTTACTTAATCCTAACAAGATATTTGAAAATTAGAGGCTTTTTATTACATTTTCCAAAGCAGCATCACTTTGCATATTGAATATTAGATCCATCTGGAAAAGTGACACTTGAAACAGTGATGCCTTTTCAAGTCCATGGCACCTTGTTATATCAGGCTCTTCATACATACTGAACATACGACTTCTGGAAGCTGCTTTTGAGAAATAAGGGTAAGGGGAGACAAAAACTACAAAGATTGCTCATGTGGTGACCATAAAAATGATGAGGCTCTCGAAAACATGAATACTGAAGTGTTGTGATGATTTCCTGCAATTTCGTCTGTTTATTTTAGAATCAGGCACACGAGAGCAGCTTAGAGGACACCTCCTTTCTTGAATAGGTTTGAGAGCTTCAAGAGGTTAAGAATGTCACAGCTGATTAGAACGACAAACAATTCCAATTTTGGATCAGTCCAAGCAGTAAGCGACATAAGAAAAGAATTTCCAACACATATGCACTGGAGCTGGAACCTGTTTGGGATTGCACCTGTCAGAGCCCAGAAACTGGAGATAGAGACTGTGGCCACTCATAGTTTATTTAAAGAAAACTTCTTCTGCCACCCTGCCTCTGTGCCTCTCAGTCATTACCCCACTTTTGTTTCACGTATTTGCTGTTTAAGTCTGGGAAAGGTGGATTGAAGACTCCACTCATTTTAACCAAGCAACATAGCTGCCAACAAAACCTACCTGACTACAGCACTTTACCTAACCACAATGCTTACAATACAGAAGGATTCTTTCCATTTTATCCTGAGCCCCACCCTGAACAGTGCACCTGGAGCAGACATCCAGGAAAGGGGGCAGAGTGCAAGAAAAAACTCCTGGAATGATTAATTAACAGAGCAGTCAAAACCAGTTAGGCTTCGGAGGAGCACTATTATGCTTTACTGTAACAGGTCAGTGCCATAATCAAGGGAAGGCTTTGGGAAAAAGGTAGTTGCAAAGTACTTCTACACAGCCAGTATGTTTCTAATAGCAGCCTGTTATACCTTTGCTAAGATCTGGAAGACTACAAAGTATAGACTACACAGCAATGTGCTGCTGTGTGTTCCAAGCTGCTGAGCAAACTGTAGCAGAGGGACCGCAAAGCAGAAGGGAAAAAAGAAATCTCAAGTTGACTTTGAGCCATTTGCTCTAGGAAAACAATAATTCTCCTGAAAAATGTTCTAAACAGATGAATTTTAACAAGAGGCTGGATGTGAACCATTCATCCAAGAAATGCTCAGTAATGAAAGATTAACGTGCACTTTAGGGGATTTGAACATAACACTATCCTCCCACCTTCTAAGCGACTCTTCTGAACTTCTTTGTGCACAATATTTACAATGCCCACTTTTGTTCTTATGCTAGCAGCAGAAAGAATACCTTCTTGGAGCAAACAGACCTGGACCGACTGCAGAAATTTGCCAAATATTGATTTTGTTAAGGATAAGCTTAAAATTTCCACCTTGCTTCAGTTTCACACAGAATGAATTTTTACAAACTGATTTTTAAAACAAATGTATTATACCGTATTAAAAGAAGTGAATTATACTACTTTAAACAATAAACTGAAAGATCTATTATAATTGAGTAATTGAGAACAGTAGAAATCTACACTTAAGGGTACAAAAGTACACTGGAAAAATGATGTTGTCCTAAGAGGTTCTGTCTGAACACATTAAGGAAACACTTTACTGTAAGGATAACTGAGCACAGAGCAGGTCACTCAGGGAAGCTATGGAGTCTCCAGCCTTGGAGATATTCAGAAGCCATCTGGATGTGGCCTAATACCTTTGAGTTTATGTTCTATCAAACCAGATTTGGTGAATGCGAGATCTAAGTGAGGAAACTGACAGTTCAATACGTAAGCCCCTTCCAACTTCTGCTGGAAACCAAGTTAAAAAAATGTTATAAGGATTGCAGTCTTCTCCTGAACAATGTCTGTGTAAAGCATACCAAGCATCCAAGAATTACAGAAGCATTACCTGCTCGTACTTCTCTGGTTGTCTGACAAGATCTGTTTCTGTGACAGAAAAATGTCCAAGGACCTGGTCCACATGGGAGCCACTGGTGAACAAATGGATCTGAAATAGATGGAATTAAAAGATATCTGTCAGTGAAAGGACCAGATCATAAGCAACATCATTAGCTACCATCTAACAATTGGCATGGATTGGAATGGTGATGAGAACCAGTGGTTACAAGCCCATCCCCATGGATATGTACAAATGTAACTGCTACCATCAATACAACAAACCTTTTTAAAACAGCCAGAATGGAAAGGTTGAACATGCACCACAGTTATCTCACAAAACAGTCCATCTGGTAGTGTTACCACATGCAGGAATTGTGAGCGCTGCTGCCACAGTAAAACTGAAAGATTTCTCTTTTCATCCTGTCTTAAAGTCTTTTTCTTTACAGTACACATGCTCTTGTGCATAGCATGAAAGGAGAAACCATTTACACAGATAGCAGGAGTCTTAACAGAGCTAAAGGATACCCACTCTCAGAATAATTTTTTATTTCTTCCTTTAAAGTAGAAAATGCTACATAGTTACAGTAAGTTTCTCTTCTGCTGCTACATACTTGGTTTTTTCTTACCAAGACCTTGTCCCAGCTGCACTGGTGCTAGTATCATCAATTACTTGATGAAGAAGCTTCCCAAGTTAGTCAAGGGAACAACAAAAACCAATTCCTCCTATTCAGAGCTGATCCCTTTGTTACTGTAATAACTGCAGCTGCCAAACAAGATAGCAGTGCACATTTGTCAGGCAATCACTCATATTTCATTAATATTTCTGCCAGAAGACAGAGAATATTTCCTGCTTTTCTTTCTTTATTCTAATACGAACTTTATCGTACACTTGGGTATTGACGACTATTTTAAAGTTGACAGGCACTGGTTAATTATCAACCCTTCCCTGAAACTTCAGAATATTTTAGCGTTCCTTTCCCAAAACTCACTTCTGGTGGCAACCATCTGTCACATGTGCAGAGCTATGCGAGTTTAAAAATAAAAGAGCACCTCCCCACACAATGTTCTTCCTTTCTTTTTGCCACTCCTCTCCCTGCTGCATTCTCGTGCAACCGGCTGGCAAACCTTTGGGCTCTTAGCACCAGCAATGAATTTCAGATCCTTTTCAAATGTATGTGGCAGCAGCATCACTGGCTAGAGCCCAAAACAAATACACTGAAGCTGTAACAACAGAGTAATAAGGTGTTCCCCTGAGACAGGACTAGATGGATACCGGAATAATCCAGTATTTGTATTTTTGCTATCTGTTACTGATAATCACAACATACTGAAGATAAAACAACGTTTAAAGAGGGAAACTGCACCGAGGTAAATGAAGGAGGTGAAAGGGTGAGAGACAGAGCACGGATAGCTGTTGCTTCAAGGCGCTGGAATACACCAAGGTGGAGGCAGAAATCGGACTCTGATTTAACCTCACACTAACCTTGGCATGAGAGCAGAGGCACAGCCCCCCACTTAGCACCACTTCTGGGGAGTTTCCAGTACCAATTCCTAAACACCCTTCAGCTTAGACAAGCTGCTCTCCCTGCAGGGTGTCTAAAGCCACCTAAGAGAAGATGAAAAGGGGGCTTGTTCATAGTTCACACACATTTGCATGAGAGGGAAAAAGTCTACTGCATCAAAGGATGTGCTTTTGACATCTAATGGCAAATTCAATTTAGGAAAAAAAAACAACGATTTTCAAACCGAATAGACACGAAATATATAAATAACCACTGTAGTAATTTACTGAGGAACGTGGTAGATTCTTCATGTCAAGATACAGATGCATCTAACAACTGCAGTTTAGCTCACTCAAGAATTACTGACAATGAGGTAATTACCCAGCACCAGTCTTTGCCCTCTATTATTCAGAGATCAAGACTTTGTCCTTGTCCCTTTACTCATACCACATCATCAGATATATAGATATGACCAATCCAATCCACTGCACTACATCTTATTTTATATTGTTTATCCTAAGAGAAGGCACAAGAAATCACCCCATTCAGGTGGTGGCTCTCTGTGCTGCTCTGCATTTTTACTGACAAAATAGAATTCTTGCTCTTACAGTTTCCAATCATATTATAACCCTCATTGTTGCTTTACCATGATCTGATAATTCCAGTTACGTTGAACTCTTCTTCTATTATCAAGAATTACATTTAATATCATTTTACTCTTACTAACCTATATGCACAACCAGATATTCACCTACTTAAAAAAAAATTAATCTCTGAACCTGATTTAACCCTCCACTATTTCAGGATGGAAGATAGCTAAAAATATCCCCAGGAAATCCATCATTTTTGCACGAACTCATCTATTACAATCTTTCATTTCACATGCTGATCATGGAACAGTGCATTTAACAGACCACCCAAAAAAATCCAGTTTGAAACTGCAGAGTTCCTACCTGTTTTTCTGAAACTACGCGAGGCTTCTCATTCACGTTTTTTAAGGCAAAGTTGTAACTCAAAGAGTAAATAACAACAGCTGCTCTCTCCCGTGAACTCAAGAGGGATCAAAAACTGAGCAGACAGATACTCCTCTGGCACTTGGCAGAAAGAGGGAGAAACAGAATAGAAGAACCAAGAGGCTTGCCTCCACAGGGTAATTGATCCTTCACGTTTCCTTATATTTGAAGGCACATCAGGTAAATGTGTACCACTGAGAATTCCGAGGGAATTATAATGGTATTACTACATTATACTTTCAAAGCGAGCCAACCTGTCCGTGATGAGAAGCCATTATGATGTTACTCAACACCTCATACCCTCAGGCTGCAAAACTCCTCAGCAGCAGAGAGGTTAAGATTTCCCCGAGGAAGTCATCCTAGTACAGCAGGACATGTGTGCGTTTGTAGGCTTCAACATGCCTTCTGGGAGCTGAAATCACTGGAAAGCAGCTCATCAGAAGAACTAGCAGAGAGGAACAGCCAGTCAGACCACCTAACAAGCAATTTACAGCACATAACCAGCTGCAGCTCCAGGCAGGCTTTCCCCTTCAGCAACCTGCTCTGGGTACTGCAGAACTTTGTACCATCAGCCTTAAGTGGCACAGGCAGGACAGGGTAGATGGAAAGAGGCCCCAGTGATATCCATACTGAAAAACAGAGTGGAAGAGCAGTCATCTTCTGAATAAGCACATATTTTCCAACTGTGGTGGTTTTTTTCTCAGAAAGCCCCAAATAGAGAATATGGTATTTTAGAGCCTGTGTGAGTCACAGAATGAAATCTGTGTAAGTGTCGCCACTAGTTGGCAAGAATTATAGCTCATGATCAGCAGTAAATAAGACTGTTCCACAGATAAGATACATAACCTGTTAAGTTATTAAACAGAGCAAGTAAAAGCCGTAATTATCATTTTGTAGAGAAAGCCCTCTGTGATTCTGTCAGCATAATTAAAGAACATAACACTCGTTAGCCTTTTGCATACCGTGTTTATGATTTACTAGAGGAAAGAAGCAGCTCATACAGAGGTCATACTGGGTCAGCTCGGCCTTCCAAAACATAGAATAGTTTAAAAGTTTTGAAATGAATGCACCAGTAGAAGTAATTTCTCCATAAAGAGTCAGGAAATATCAATTACTGTTTATGCAGCTGTTAAAATTGTGCAAGTATGTTATATTTTGTGTTACTGTAAATGTTAACATTAATGTGGCAACTGTAGTGAAGTCCCTTCCAAAGTCACTTTAACCTTCCAATTCTCCTGCTTTTAATTCAGACTAAAATATAAATCAGGGCTCTGGACTTTATTACAGCACTGAACAGAACTCCCACAATTGCACAGATGTATTTGAGCACACATCATACCAGAGTGGGATCACAGAGGGAGGGAGTTGGGCTCTGTTCTACCCTCCTTTGTTTACATCCATGGTGGCAGCCTCTCTACACGCTACAAAACACAGCCTGACCACAACAGTCATCACCAGCACCACTGCTGCTTTCAGTTTAGTCCAGTGATGACTGCTGGAGAAGGCAATAATGGCAGCTTTAGGAAACTGGATGAACAGACAATCTCCCTCCTGCTTATTCTTCCAGATTCTGGAAATCATGGTCCAGGGACCTGACACCTGTCTCTTAGATCTGACTGTAGCTGTCCTAACTTCGGAAGACATTTTTCCTTCAGAGATAAAAACCAAGTCCAAGTTTATTTCAAAGTACAGCCTCCCCCAGGAGGGTCATCATCTTCTCATCTCCCCTGTCAACAAGTTCAGCACGTTGCCAATCAGCACATCTCTTCATTATTTCAGTGTCTGATCTGAACTGTTGAGACTATCTCTGCTTGTACTTGAGGTCTTAGGTTTGACCTGCTCTTAATTCTTCCTTGGGCTAATTAACTGCAAGCTGAGGCACTGGAGCTGCCTAATGACTTGTTACTGTCAAGTACTACATAAATCAGAGAGCTGATGATGAGTTATGGAGGTATTTGCCTCACCTACTATAAAAATCAACATACCTTACATAGAAGTAACTTATCAGGGGGAGAAGATGCCGATCATTTCACTTGGGTTTCACCTCTCCCAATAACATCACAGTCTGTAATCACAATGCAAAAGCCAAGGACTGTGCCTGCACTTACAGAGAATTGTTATCTTTTGTTCCCAGATCAGGGAAGCACATCCACAGCGGTCAATGCAAAGCAAAAGGCTATTTCAGATGCTGCACACACAGCACCTGATCTTTCCCCTGGTGCTGTCAATCAGACATCTTCCCTAGCAATCAGTTCACGGAAAGAAACAAAATGTAACCTCGTTATAGTCTTCAGCACTGCTCTGCCAGACACAGGATTAAAACCAAGAAGGCATCTTTATTCAAAGGTGAAGATGATTCTGACAACTTTCTGATAAATGTTCTCGGAGAAGAAATTTCCTGAAACTGTTTTTAGTCTCAAAAAAAAAAAAAGTTTTCTGTGAAGATTCTGAGTACAATAATAACTGGTTCTATTTAAGTTATCCAAAGAGATAAGAATGGAAAAAGGTGGCCTAGGGAAAACAATGCTTAATAACTTTTAGGATTATCTTCAGAACCAGATTTTTAATTTGTCTCTGCAGCCACCACCACTGTCAACTCTGGGACTGAAGGCTCTTTCCATCCTAAACAGACATAATGCTCTTAGATGTCTGTGATTTCCAGACAGGCATCTAAACATTCATAAACAGAAACAGAAGTGGAATCTTAGCAATGTAGGCACTATTACTGATCCCTGATTTAAAACCAGGTTGCTTCTGGGTTCTGATCAGATGTAGCCTACTACTTTGGAATGGGGAACTGCACTTTATTTTGCTATTACTTTCCATATTTGTGCTCAATATTTTGAATCCACATTTTCAGGATACTTAGAGTTCTTGAATCACTACTTCTTGTCTGTGGGACCAGAATGTGCTGTCTTGTTTCTACCAGGCATTTTCTAGGAAAATGAAAACAGCCTATGGTTGCAGAAGTGACTAATGTGCAAACCTGCAAAGGAGACTTTTATACAATTATAACTTTGCAAACACTGTACACATTGCATTTTCTCACGGTTCAGTTGCACTGGGGAAAGGTGGAGGTATTTACATTTAGAGTAATTCACTCTCATCTACAGAAAAGGCAGAACTAGCAAACAAGAATAATTTGTACATTTAGCTCTAGCTGACAAGGCTTTTAAATAATAAACAACGTCATAGTGAGTTAGAAGAACCATTTACCTTGTGCAGAAGTTTGCACTGCTCTTGGTGCTGAGCATGCAAACTCCGCCATTGGAACCTCAGCCTCCCATTTAACCACTGAAGGTATCGAACATCCACTCTGTCTTCCAGCCCACATTCAGGTGTTGTTTCAGTTGTACTCTTCTGGATGTCAGGGAAATCATCTTCACACTAAAAGGAGAAAAGAACACAAAAACGTTTTAAATTAGTTTGAACACTTTCAAGTCATTTGGTAGAGAAAAACAATAGAGGACATGAAGGCTAAAGAGGGAAAAAAAACCCCTACAATGAAGTCAATTTCAGCAGCACAGAGAAAATTGTCATCTTTTAGAATACAGGATTGGGAACAGCCTAAACAAGTAGAGAAGTGTGGAATAAATATCAGCTTCTCAGCTGTGACTTGGTGAGCTGCCTCCTCTTCCATCTTTCATTTTCCATACCCAGGAAGACACAGTGTTCCTGAGACAGCAAGCATGTTCTTTACCCAGATGGGAAAAATCACATTTTGACTAGATTCTAATATGCCAAAGAACAGATTTAGTTCCTCCAGTGTCTTCCTGAGACCCTATTTTGTAAATCAGTGACTTATATAAGGACAAACTCGTGGGCCTGTGCTTACCCAGCTATTTTCTTTTCTCCATCCAGCATTTCCCATCTGGCAGGATAGAGGAAAAGAAAAAACCATGCTACTGGCAATGGCCGCAGAGGCGCTCCCAGCTACAGTTTTATCACCTGTCTTGCTTGCCTTGCCTTGCTCTAGAGTAATTTGGAAGGAAGAAGTTTAACGAGACAGTTTAACGAGACAGTAGTGTTTGCTGAGGAGGGTGAGTTATGAGGAAGACCAAGCTCCTCCCTCTAAGCAACTGTAAATCCGAAATTGAGAGGCTCCAGACGAGGATATGTGGGAAAGAAAAAATAACCGCCCTTTATTAAAGAACGCATGTGTACAGGTAACACAACAAAAGAAAAACAAACAACAAACCTGCACCCAAACTCCCACCAAAAACAGTTCAGTACTTTTCGCCTTTCGGCGCAATTCTAACCATGGCCAGGAAGGTGCAGTCACCACGTGGGGCCCCAGCGCATGAGAGGAGCCAAATGGGGATCCCCCTACACCAAAAGGAAAGGAGAAGGGGCAAGGGTGATCTTCCTGTGGACTCACACTGTCAAGGCTGGGCTGGAAACCCTCCTCCTCGTCAGTGGACACAAGCTTCACCCAGCATGGAAAGAGGAGGAGGAGGAAAGAATACCGGTTTTTCTCCCAGAAAAAATTCTTCCCCAGATCAGCACTTGCATCTCTGATGAAATCCCAGGCAGTCTGGGCAGTGGGCAGAACAGGGAGTGAGAGAACAGAGGCAGGTCAGGGCCAAAAGCAACCATCTGTACCAATCACCTCTGAGGCAGCTTGTACTCCCTCATAAGCTGCTAGGGTCTCCTTCTCTGTTGAAGTGTAGTTGGCCTCAAATCTTCTGTAGCTTCAGCTCCAGAATCCAAGTGGGCGGCCTCGGGTCTCACAGGCATACTTTGCCAGAGGCTCCAGGAAGGACCATTATCCCTGGCTGCAGAATATATGTCAACTTCATACAGTCTATAGAAATCACATACAATAAACACAGCTCATAATTCCAAATTTTTTTACTACAACATCTCATAAGAAGCAGAAGTAGCACAGAACTGCAAAGACCTGGTTATTCAGAATGGGGGTGTGCCAGGTGAGGAACCACCTCCCAATTCTTGGACCCTCAAGACATTTCTTTAAAGTGGAAATTTAAAAAGCCTACTTGAAGTATGACTGTTTTCAAGAAAACACTTAAGCACATATTTGGACCCATAGACCTTGATGGGATTTAAACATATGTGCTTCCCTGCTTCACAGATTTCCACATTCAATAACATCTTAAAAAGATCCAGTTGGCAGGCAAAGCTGGAATGTAATTTAGGATCCAAACTGGAACTAACAATGGAAACTGTAAAATTAAGAGAGTTTAATCTTGCTTTAAATGCAGATTTCAACAGAAGTGTGTCTTTCAACAGAAGTGTGTCTATAACCATGATCAAATAACCCCCTAACACTTCTTTTAACCTAAGTATCACCAGTTGACAGAGCCTCTAACACAATGAGTGTTCCTATTATTTATAAGCACAAAAGTGCTGTTCTGGTCACATAACAAAATGTATCAATGTTACAGGTTTTTTCCCCTTTGCTCTGTAGCTCAGATAAACACATGCTATAAATCACAGAGGTGCAGGGGTGGTAAAGGGCTTTCTTTTCCTTTTAAAGGCACAGATTCATCTTTAACAACAACAACAACAACAACAAAAAAGACTATCTCCTTTGTGCCAACTGCAATATCCTTCTTTTTCCTGTGCTCCTTCAGCTTCTGAACCAAGGCACTGTGTCCTTGGGCACTGCAGTCCTAGACAATTACCTCCATGGTTCAGACTGTCCTGCCCAAACCAGGAGACTATGAAACCACAGAGGTATGATCACCAAGTTGCCCATAAACATCATAAGCCAAGCAATTGGATATTAACCTCTACAGCAGAGAAAGCCCATGTCTAAAGAACATTAAAAAAAACTCACATAAGCAGCCAGCAAGCCGCAAGGCCAAAGACAGATTTGGGAATCCCAGATTAAAATCTGCATTTTCCATAATTTACAGTCCTGCTCCAACTTCCCTGTTAAGAGGTTTCAGAACAGCCCAAATACTGCTCTCCTGGGGATTGATCTCAGAAAGGAATGGCATCAGACTCGATTGCTTTGGCAGTATAGTGACAAACACCATGCAGAGCTAATTTTATTGTAGCAACCTGCCTTATTAATATTAAAATAAGGAAGCCAGTCAATGCATTTTTAACAGGATCTCTCCATTATTTATTCCACAAACTGCAAAAAAAAAAAAAATTTTGCTATGAAATACTTAGCCTGGCATAAAGTAAACAAGATAAAAAAAAAGGTCTTACATACTATACTATGACCTCAATTTCTAGTCCCATCTTTACAAACTAAGTCTATTTACTGCTCTCCCAGTGGGAAAAAAATCACTAAAATACCAGCCTAAGCTAAAGCCTTTGCTTCAAATATCACTGTGAATTTATCTAATCTGTGCAGCAATACAGGTACACACCTACATTCACTTCTGAGTTACAGAAGTGCATCTTTTTTAGTCCACTTAATAAAGAGAGAAGCCAAGGCAACTACCCAGACACCTCGATGGCTTTCCTACTCTTGGAAAACTCCACACCAGCTCTGGAAGAGATCATTTTACAGCCACTTACCAGAGAATTGTTTTGCTTGCAAATTTTTTGCTGCAATTAATGTTTCCCTTTGATTTCATTTCAGAGAAGGCATCCAGCTACAGAATGGTGCACAGGTTTGCAATACAAAATCCATATCAGCACACATCCATACCTTCATCACAATGTCAAGTCTATTCCCATCACACTGGTGATATCTGAGCTAGTCTTGTCAAACTGGACAATATGGACCTGCCAAAGCACCTGTGATTAGTGAAACTTAAACAGAAGCCAGAATGAACCCCCTTGATTCCACTGTAACTCAGCCCAAACAAGCTTTCTATCCTAAAAGCTCAAAGTACTGCTGTTAAATTTCGATATCCATTTATTGGCAAGGCTCAGAAAACCGAGCACAAGCCTGACAGAAGTGACAAGCATATATTTACACAAATTCTCTTCAAGCCAATTCCTGAACTATCACCCTGCCCACACTTCAGCAGAACAGGCTCTTGTGTGGTAAAAGATCCAGGAAAATAAACAGTGTAGCCCAATAACAAATACACATTCCAGGATACCACCCATCACCATCCCAACTAATATAGCTCACAAACCACAAAACCTATCCCAAACTCATAAACACATCTCTGGCTTTGTCAGAGCTAAACACAGTTTATGTCCTAAAATCATGTATTTAAAATTTTTTGCAAGGCAGACCAGAAATCAGTCTCCAACACCACATGAGTGTCCCCCTAAGCATTCCTCCCCAGGCTATTTCAACTCAAATTGTTATGACAAAAGGTGCCAGATAACACTCAAAACGTGTCAGACTTGTGCTTATACAATGCAGCAAGTGCAAAAAAGGCTAACGCTGCCGAAGACCTCGTAGCAGAATTATTCTGAGCACACAAGTCAGATTCACAAAACACATTGAACTGAAAAAAGCCATCAGATACAAAAGTACTTAGAGGAAAAGAATAAGGGGTGGGAGAAAGGAGGGTGTGAAAATAGACAGGGTGATAATCAATTTTCATCTACATTCCATACATCTGAGCAAACAATTTGCATGCAACGTGCTTAGAGTGAAATTAAAAATGAAGAAGTTCCAACTTTTATAGCAGAAATGAAGCCTTTCTTTCTGGTTTGAAATACGAAGCAATCTCATGTTATCAGAAATCAGAGAACAGGTCAGATTTAATTTATCTCATATGGAGATAAATTAAATGTACTTCATCATGTAAATAGTTTGTAAAAGAACAACACAAGCACCAATGTGTTTGCAGACATGTAAGAAGGGGGCATTTTTTGCACTGCTTACTGCATTTGAGGATTTTAGTGACCTGGTATGGAGTTGCTCTGTTCATACACTTTGAATTAAACAAACTCCAAATGCAGTTTTAATGTAAAATTCCTTGCAGAGTCAGTAGCGACCATATGTCACAAGCAACGCTGCAGAGGTAACCTCTGTCATGCAACTTCATCACCCTTTTACACTTTCTGTACTATTCCTACTGATACAGGAATCTTTTATAAATTCTTACCTTAATAAATTTACTATGCCCTGTACACACAATGGAAAAGAAAAGGCCTGTGATGCCTGCACGGCTGTAAAACAAGGCTATGGAAGGGCTGCTTCCCCCAGAGATGCTCTTTTCTAACCAAAAGCTGCCACCTGTCGGTATAGGACAAGCCCCAGCTGCCTCCAGCTCATCCCTGGAGAGCTATAGCTTTTCCCTGGACATCTTCTAAATCCTTCCAAGGATCAGCTCTCCACTTCCACATTTGAACAGCCCACAAACAACCTGCTGCTTACTTTACCCGTGGAGAAACAAGCCTACAGAAACACAGATAAGACATTCAACCCATGGAGATCTGCACCAGGTCCTGTGCTAAGTACTAACTACACTGAGCACACAGCCTGGCATCACAAAGGTGGA